AATGGGTGCACATGTCTGGCCAGCAAAGTCACCTGGGCATGTCCTCCTGGACATGTCTCCAGTAGCATGACCATCCCCTGGCTGACCATCCAGTTCCCCAGTAGACCGCTGCAAAGAAGCTGTGCTCCAGGGTCACTTGTGCCCACTCAGCTCCTGGGGGAGCCAAGCCCAAGGCTTGGGGGGGCTGTGGCCACCCAGCTTGGTTTCTCCTTACCCACTTGACTCTCACTGAAAATGAAGACCCCTATGCTGGCCAACCTACTTGCTGGGCTGAGGCGGGACTGCATCATCCTGTGCTACCTCTGACATCCCTCTCTTCGGTCCCAGTGAAATCAAGCTGTCTGTCACAGCGGCTGTGGCTGACTGCATTGTGGATGCTGTGCTGGGAGACCTGACAGTTGCCCAGTGCAGGCTGGTGAGTGCTGGCAGGGCCAGCCCTTGTAGGTCATGATGGGGATGTGGGGTGGGTGTCTGAGTATTCTGGCATTGCCCAGGCACCGGCCAACATAGTGACTGCAGCTTTGCTGTCCAGAAAGCAGGACAATTTCCTCTCAGGCTGGTTTTCCTCCCAGGTAGTCCTCTCCCACGGCTGTCACAGCAGAATTAACTCTGTACAGCTCCTCACCACCTGTACCCACCAGAGTGAGGTCCAGGAGCTGCCCCACGGCAGGGGATGGGGGGGGGGCACCAGGAGGAAACTGGGCAGCAGCCGTCCGTGCACCAGGGCTCTCTGCACAAGGCAGAAGCAGGGCAGCTGCACCAGGGCACAGCCAGGGCTGGCAGCTGGCTAATCAGGCCTAAATCCGCTCACAAATCCCAGGCACAGGAAGGGAGTGGAGCAGCACAACGTACACGGGGCAGCCGAGCACACTTCGACCAAGGGAATGATTTAAGCGCTTCCTCATGATTTTAGGCAGAGAGCCTCTCCAAGCACGGGCTGGACCTCCCATCACTGCAGCTGGAGCCCATTGAAGATGATGCCGCCGTGCCAATGAGGGGCAGAAATCCTCTGGATATCACTGAGAAAGGCTTTGCTACGGAAGAGGTAGGGCTCGGCTCCCTGTCCGGCTGTGCTGCACTGGTGTCTGGGCTACCAGAGGGGTCAGTGACATCAGGAGCCATCAGGCCTGACAGCGGGCAGTAGCTGGAAGACCCAGGCCTGCCGCTACATGATACCCACATAAAAGGCCTTCTATCCGCCTTGCTGGCTGAAACTAGTTAGAGCGCTGTACTTAAGAGACCAGCCTCTCTGGGCTCTAGCAGGTCTGCACAGCATGCACAGCTCCCCCGGACACCTGTGCTAGCTTAAGGCCAGGTCAGCACTAAGGCAATTAGCCCACCGGTCCGTGCTGCCAGCCTGCTTGCTTAGAGCTTCCACCAGCTCTACCTATCCTGCCGGCACTCCCAACCATGGTAGTTGCGCTCCACTGTGCCCTGGTGCTGCTCCAGGGCCACATACAGGCCCTCCAATCAGCTTTTTGCCTCCAGATCTAGAATCTCACACATAGCACTGGGGAAATGGCTGGAAAACCCTCTAATTCAGCAGGGTTGGCACCTCAGATGGTTTAGTTAGGTGCTGGAGACGAACTAGACCAAGAAGAGGGGGGGGTGCACCCCTGGGGTTTTAGGGGTGTCAGAGGGTTTGCAACAGGCACAGGACCAAGGGTGGTTGGGTCCAGCTGCCACAGGGAAGGCAGGAGGACCCTGCTCACTGTGGCCAGCTTTCCAAAGAAAATGTAGCCAAAGCCTGGGCTGTGGGCAGCTCCCAGATAGTGCTCACCCGTGGTGGCATCTGTCTGCCTCCATCCTGTTGGTGGCGGGTCAGCGAGAGCATCACTGGATTTGTGAGCACTCTCTTTCCCCTCCTCTCCCTGCAGTACAAGATGGCTCTGCGGAGGAAGAACAAGCATTTCAGGAGCATTCGGCCCACGCCAACCATGAGAAGTAAGGCTGTCGCATAGCTGTCCCTGCTTCTGTGCCCTGGCTTGGTGTGCATCCATTATGGTCTGGAACAGTGAGCCACGTGTGCCATTTCCTTACTGTCAGGGTGCCACAATGGCAGGGGGCTCACAACTTTAATTCAGGGACCCATACTGTTCATTCGGGGGCCACTGCACAGGGCCTCTGCAACAGTGCTACAGACCCCGGGGAGCCAAGAGCAGACTTCCAGTGCCAGCAGGCCCAGCGTCGGGCACTCTGCTGACAGTGATGTGGGGAAGAACTGGCCTTTTGTTGCCCTGGGTGTTGAGCTGGATGGGATCCAAATATGCTGCTGCTTTAGGAGAGGATGGAAAGTTTGTGGATGACTCTGGAGGCTTCAAACCAGCATGTCTCTAGTAGGGACATCTCCCTGCACTGTGTTGGAGACCAGTCCTGGGGACTGAGCATTGCTGAGCTACCCAAAACATCCAGGGGCTGTGATTTAAGTCCTTGAGATCCCAAAAGGGCAGAGGAGGGTTTGCCTGATGATGCTCCTGGGGCTGCAGACAAAGGTTTGGCAGGGAGGCTGCCAAGAGAGAGCAGTGCTGAGTTGTCCCAGGCTTTTCTGTGGCCAGTTTTATCCCACAAAGCCCTGCGTGCATGGGCTGGCTGGAGACGATGGGAACAGGATCTGGGGAGGCCCGAGGAAAATGGCCAGCATTTTGGTGACTTTTCTTTTTCGAGACTTTGGCAGCGATGATCGTTTGGCAATGGGATCCCAGGCTTCAACAGAAGCAGAGCTCACACCATGCCTGAGTGCCTTACATCCAGATATCCCTGTGCCTGCCATGGATGCAGGGAATCCGTGACAGCCGCTAAGCCTGGCCATGTCCTCATCCCCCTGCCCAGGCTACGTGTAACCAAACAGCCTGAGAAGCCACCTGCCAGGCAGGTGCCAGCTCAGGTGATCCATGCAAGGTGGGAACAGTCCCAAACCAAATCCCTGGCTGCACACTGATTTGTCTTACCAAAATGCTGACGATTGCCCTCAGTCCTATGTGTTGGGGCTCTGCTGTGCTATGTGTGGTACAAAACCAAGCACATCTTCAGTAGCTCACAATCCTTCCTGCAAGCCGGGCCAGGGCTGGCAGAGCCCATGCTGCTCTCCCACTGCTTTGGTATAGGCCTGTGAGGGGTTTGATGTGCGTCTTTGGACCTGTCTGCAGGGAACAACTTGCATCACTCCCCCACAGTATCCCACATGCTCAGCCCTGCCAGCTGTGTGCAGAAACCTCCTGGGGACCTTGCTATGTTGTGAGAATAGCAGGAGCTGGCCCCAAATGAGCTGCAAGCTGTTGCCCAAGGCTGACGTGCAAGCTCTCCCCACCATTAGCAGCATTCGCATGAACCGTGGAGCAGCCGCCTGGCTCCACTCCCCTCCCCTTCGCATGGTGCAGCGAGCGCGCCGCGCAGCGCCACTAAACCTCCGCATCGCTGCAAGTGGGCTAAGGCTGCTGCGGTGGGGAGGTCTGCGCAGGGGCTCCGCCGGGGCTTAGCCAAGGCACCGGCCCGGGGCCCATTCACAGCCTGGGCTTCTCGCCCTCGCAGGTCTCTCGGAGCTGGAGTTGCAGGCAAGCAGGGACGCAAGCGGGCTCCAAACGCACCGGGCGCCGCTGTCACTCAGCCCTGCCGCGCCGAAGGCACGCCCTGCCTCCACAAAGGATGCTGAGCCTGCGAGCAGCTTGCTCCCTTGCACGCAGCCTGCATCCACCGAATCCCTTATGGACCTACCGACTGAAGGGGAGAAACTGGAGCATTGCACCAAAGCTAGGCCCAGGCCCAACCGCAGGCACAAGCAGCCTCCAAGCAAGCCGAATGTAAGACTTGTTTTGTTTTTCCAACTAAGCAGGTTGCGGGGTGGGGGGAGGGCTGGTTTGTGGTTCCCTCCCCCCCCAACAGAATGAATTATCTTAGTCAGCATTTATTGCAAGGCAGGAATATGAGACGTGCAGCGTGCAGCTGGTTTATGATACTGCACTCCAGCTGCTGCTGTGTGCACCTTCGAGGAGGGGGTTGCTGGGAGGATAGTTAGTGATTTTGGGAGGCCAGGGAAGTCTTTCCTTTTCTTCTTGATGAATTTGACATGCTGCAGAACTGTGGGATCTGAGATACAGGCAGGAAAAAAACACAGTTTGCTTGCAGAGGGCTGATCTGTTTGTGGATGTCTCCGTCTCCCTCTGTCCATCGGAGCTGAATTTTCTCCCAAGATACAAAAAGCCTTTTCCAGACCTACCTCAAAGCACCAGAGGCAAAATGTGAATGCAGCTATCGTGGCTCCTGGCAGAACTGTGCAAATCGCTGCTGTTAGTGGAGGACTGGCTCCACGGCTCTGCTGGCCTTGGCATGGCTGGATTTAACCCTAGAGCTTTCCCACACCTAAAATATGAATGTACAGGGAGTGATGCTCATAACTTGCTGGATGTGTTTACAGTGCCTCAGGCTGCTTTGGCAACAAAAAGTAACTTTTGGATGCAGCTGGACCAGACTCCACAGAGGAAACCAGGCCTGGGAGAGATGGGTGGTGCTGGGGCAGGGGCTGGAGAGGCCAATGCATGCTGTGGTGGGGTGCTTTGAAAAGGCTGGAAGCATTTTGGCTGCTATCTAAGCAGTCTCTGCTCCTTCACCCGCCATTGGAAGGGCCTGGAGGGGCAGTCTTCCCCATGCCCAAAGCAGGTTGTGAAGGGTAGGGGTGCTCTCGAGACCCAAACTGCCGGGGGCACTGTGTCAGGAGGCCCAGCTTGTCCCTCGTCTCCCTGCCACCACAACACAGCTGGGTCCTACCACCCACCGGAAGGCCCTGGCATGCATAGCCACTGTTATGCTCACCCTGGCTAGGCCCTGCAGTCAGAGCCCTGCTGCCTCAGGAGGAGAGGCAGCAAGGGCTATTTTACCCTGGCACAGGCTCGCAAGAGCTGGGCAGAGCCTCAGGGCATCACCTTGGCACACTCCTCTGCACCTGGGAGACTGCGTGCCAGCCAGCTCAAGAATCCCACCAGGGCATGGCACTGCTGCTGTTGTCAAAGGAGAAATGAGAGGCTGAGACAGGCCCCTGCCTGCCTGCTCCATCATGTGCTCTGGATAGGCACACTCTGCCAAATCGTGGCCGCGTGTTTGGTGAGGGCAGGCTTTGATGGATGCAATGTGACAGGTAAAGCAGATATTGTAGTGTTGGAATGGATCCTGAGAGGCATAAATCCAGCTGTAATGAAAAGTCATTATGGATTGAAATGCCACCTACAGAGAAGTGCCTTCCTCTTGTCAATTGGAAGCCACCGATCCTGTGCCCTGTGCCAGGTCTAGGTGGGTGCCACAGCTCTAGAGAAAGGCCTGGCCATGGCATGGAGTGTTTTGCTGCCTGGACTCAGAGTGAATGACCTTGGTCTGGACCACAGCAGTACTTCAAGTTGGATGGAGTTGGACTCAACATGGGAAAATCAGTGAGGATGAGCGCCAGGCTCTATGTGCAGATGTCAGGACATGAAATAAGCCCTGAGTGCCTGGCTGCGTGGCTCACGGGCAGGTGTAGACTGTGCAGGACACCCCATAGGGTGCTGCCTTGCCTCTTGTTCATGGGCTGTTGAGCATAGGCTCCACTGTGTGGGGGGCCTGCCAGACCTGGAAGTGCAGCACTTTGATGCCTGCAGTCAGCATCCATGGCTCCTATTCCATGGAAGAGTGGGTTACCCCATGACACACAGGAGAGGAGCCCATCTTCTCTCCCAAAGCCTGGCCACACCTTCTGAGGTGCCCTATGTCCTGGCCTTCACCCCTGCCTCCTGGTGGTGCGGCTGGACAGATGGGCCGACAGGTGGATGGATGCCACCTGCACTGCCCCGAGGGCTGACTGCAGAGCAGTTCCCTCCCAGGCCTGCAGCTGCCTGCTCCATCAGGAGCAGGGAGAGCGGGTGTCCATTCCTTGGTTCTCAAAGCAAGGAAATGTTCCTGCCAAAGTCTTCCTCTCCACATCGCCCAAGAGTGTGGGAGAGCAGGATCAGAGGTTTGACCCACTTGTAGGAGAGCATTTGCAAGAATTGGTTGTGACATGAGGCCAGGGCTGTCCTTGGTGATGCTCAGTGCCCACAAGGTGGGCAAAGGCAAGATTTACCACAGTATGTCCCAAGGAGGGTTGGAGACATACTATGGAGCCACATGGGTGTCATGCAACACAGGCACTTATGGGTAGAGAGACAGAGCATATGGGCACCAGACCTTTGTCACAGTGCTGAGCAGGAGCATGAGTGCCCAGCACCTGACAGTGTCCACAGCAGGGGGTCCTGGCATGATGTAGCTGAAGAGGACAATTCCGAGCCAAGCAGGCCACAGCAGGGGAATCACAGTGGCTGTTCAGGCAGGGTGAAGGGCTGGCAGGAAGCTGGGGAGATCTTGGGGGTCCTGACAAAACGGAGACGTGCCAAGTCATCAGGGGATCCTGGCTGGATCACAGTCTGATAACACCCTGATTTGGCTTTAAGGCTGGATGCTTGGAAGGCGTGCTAGCCCCTCCAGCCCAAAGGGTTTCCAGCCCTCTCCTGAGCTGGCACCCACAAGCCTCCTCCCGGCATAGCAGATAGCTCTGCATGCGCATGCAAATGGGACAGGACATTTTTGCCCACCTGTGTGGCCTCTGGAGGTGTGGGGAGGTGGCCGGCAGGGGAGATGTACCCACTGTTGCCTGCCCTGCTGCTCAGGCCTGGGCCCAGATGATGGCTGTGCTTGCTTGTAGGTGCAGCCTGTGGCCTGTGAGAACAGTGAGGACAGGAGCATCACCCGCGTGGATGAGGGCCTTGAGGACTTCTTCGCCAAGAGGCTCATCACAGAGGAGCTGCCGTAAGTGAAGAGGGGTGCCTGCAGCCCCCACAGCCACAGCAGTTCTGACCCAGCAGCTGGTACCCCCAGCAGGCTCCTGTCCCATGGTACACCATGTTTCTGCAGAGCACCACCACCTGCAACCCAGACCTGCCATGCAAACATTGCTGGCTCAAGGTCAGGGCAAAGTGCTAAAGGGATGCTTGAGAAAATAATACCACAGCCCCTCTCACCCCAGGCACCTGGCAGGGCAGATCTCTGGCTGCCCTCAGAGAGCATTTCCAAGGGCAAACTGGCAAGAGGACATCGTGAGGGCACTTATAGGGTGTGGGATGCTGGCAGGGCCCTGTTTCCACAAGCTTTGGCCAGGGGGAAGGGAGATGGGTGTTGTGGGAAGGGCTATGGGGGTCTGTCCCATAGCAGGGAGGGACTGGTCCACCAGGGTCTGGATGGAACGTGCTGTGGGAGCCTCCCTAGGTCCACACAGGGCTGAGGATGCTGGCTGAGCCCAGCATCTGGGGCTGGCACTGGGTCCCTGGGTCAAACAGCCCCTCGACAGCCCTGGCCTAACATTTCCCAATGCCTCATCTCTCCCTAGCCCCACAGCACTGGAGACCTGTCCTGGATCAACCCTTCTGGCATCCTCCAGCTCCCGCACCCTCAAGAAGAAAATTGGGAACTTTTTTGCATTCAAGAAGCCCAAGTCCAGTCGGGGCTCAAGGTGCGAGAAGGAGCCTGAGGGCAGCGTCACAGCCCCCAAAAGCAGACGGTCGGTGCTCAGTGACATTTTACGCCCCCCCAGCAAGGCAGGAGAGCCACTGAGCAAGTCTGAGGAGGGGGGCCTCGCTGCTGAGCCCCAGGCAGATCCCGAGCACAGCCAGACCCCTGACTCTGCCCGCAGGATCAGGCCCAAGTACTCGCGGGAGGGCAAGTCCCAGTCACTCATACTTCTGTCTGGGGAGGAGGAGGACACGCTCGGGGTCAGACACGACAAGGTAAGCACTGCCATGGCACCAACAAGCCACTCCAGCTGACTCTTGTCTCTGGCTTGGCCCCTGGGTGCTGCTGCTCCCGAGGACGCTGGCAGTGCCAGGGCTGCATACTGTCAGGGCCTGTGGCACAGAGCCATGGCACAGGGCTGCAGCCCACCCACGGCTGAGAAGGAGAAGAGAGCAGGCTGGACATAGCAGGGATGTGGGGATCCTTGAGCAATGACTGGGGAGCCCGACATTGACACAGATCCTGCTGGGTTGTGTCCTTGCCTCAGTAACCACAAGGCACATCTGAGGCTGAGGGACTGTGCACTCAGCAGGCAATCAGGTTGGTGCTGCTGGTCCCGTGAGGGGTGCTGCCTCCCACACCACACGTCCTGGCATGGCTGTGTCTTTCCTGCAGAAGAAGCACCTGGAGAAGAGTGAAGGGGAGCTGCCCAACTCCTTTGAGCAACGCGTGCACGTCATGCTCCACCGCATGGGTGTCACAAAGAGCCTGGCCGCTGAGGGCAAGAAGGAGCAGGTGGGATCGGCTCTTCTTTAGGGACACATCCTGCACCCAGGGAGGTGGAGATGGTGGCCCATGGGACAAGGTGACCCAGGCCCCAGCCTCACTCCCCTGGCTGGGTCAGACCTGATAGCATACAGGCCTGTACCACCACTGCCCGCAGCCTCTGTCCTGTGACCTAACCCTCTGCAAGGGGAACAGTGCATGCGCAGTGCAGGCTGTCTGGCCATCTGTACCTTCTTCACCAGCATGGACCCACCCCATGCACACGCAGCCCCTCAAGCCCTGCCAGCACACTCCTGGTCACAGGTCCATGTGCCCTGCCGCTGCCACCCCAGCTCCACCTCACCAGATTTCTTTTTCTTGCAGAACAAAGACAGTGAGATCAAGAAAGCCGGTTCAGACGGTGAGGTGCTGCGTCCTCCCCCATCCTTCCCTCAGCCCTGGCCCTGACCCAAGGGTAGCACAGCTGGGCATCCTTAGAACCCCTTGGGCTCCCAGATGCATGTCCCACAGCAGGGCCAGCCCCCATGTCCCACAGCACACAGCTAGCAGGAATTGGGCCAAGCATCACCAGTTCTACTCAGGGCTGCTTCACCCTGTGGTTTAATCACCTCGCTGGGTGCTGGCGGTGTGGGGGGTGACCTGCTCAGCTCACTGATGCTGACTGATGGCCTGTGCTTGCAGGGGACATTGTGGACAGCTCTGTGGACTCACCACCCCCCTCCCTGAAGGTGCGCACACACTCCATGTCCACAGGTAAGTCAGCTGTGGGCACAGTGGGAAGTGCACCGGTTCCCAGGGGTAGAGGACCGGCCGAGGGGGGAGTTAAGTCCTTCCCCACCATCAGCACACAGCAATGCTATATGGGCACCAGAGTCTGGGAGCCAACATGTGCCACGGCACCAGCCAGTGGGCACAGACACCTTGCTCAGGGTTCCACCACTGGGAGGGTGCCTTGCACCCATGGATGCCCAACACTGATCTGGTCATAGCAGAAGGAAATCCAGCCATTCTCCCTTGATCAGGGAGGGAGACATCAGCCCAAGCTGTCTGCCTTGCTGCTGGCCCTGGGCACCAAAGCTCACCCATGCCCTGTATCCCTTCGGTGGGTGCAGGCTGAGTCCCAGCACCTTCTTAAGCTGCCCAGCCTTCCTAAGAGTCAGACTTGGGGGAAAACCCTACATGTGGGATATCCATGGCTTTGACCTGCTTTTCCCACAGATACGTCCTTACGAAGCAGCATAGCCAACACGGTAGAGCCCAGCACAGGCCCGGCCACTACCAGGCCAGCCTGGAAAGCCCTGGGGAAGCAACCGAACGCAGAGCTGAAAGGGAAGAGCTCAGATCTGCCCCGGCACTCCCTTCCCATCCCCGAACAGAGCGGGCAGCCGGACCCAACAGGCCAGGAGGGTTGGAGCAGCAGCCTGCCGCAGCGCGGGAGGAGCACGCCGACAGCGCTGCTGCGGAGGGTCAGCCATTGTGGGGAGCCGGGCACCAGCACCACCCCACCAAGCCTGCCAGCACCCCCTGATGCTGAAGGTACAGGTGCACAAGCTACAGAAAGGGCCCTAAAGAGGGGCTAGCCCATTCGTGGTAAGGGCAGCCAGCACTGTTTGGGAACGGAGGCCAGCCAAGAATTGAGCCTTGAGCCATCCTCCCCTAGGGAGGAAAGGGGCTACAAAAGCTAAAAACACTGGTTCCCTTCTCTGCCCAGCCCCGATTTGCCCCTTAGGCTCTCACAGCTTGGGCACACAGGGCACAATGGCAGGGCTGCCGGGGAGGCTGAGGCATCGCAGGACATCCCTGCCGCAGGGACCGTCTCCCCAGCCAGCAGCTCCCCCCGGCTTTTCCAGACATTCGCCTGACGCCACGGCTGGCTGCGTTGAGTGGGACCAGCCGCAGAGCTGTCTCCATCCACGAGGACCAGCTCAGGGAACCAGACTGCCTGACGGAGCTGGAGAGTAAGTGGGGGCCAGAGCAAGAGCTCCAGGTGCTGGGGGACACAAGCACCCAGCCCTGAAGGGCACAGGCAGTGCAGCTGGGGTATGTCTCGGGGCAGGGCCTGTCTCGTCGCTCCTGTTCAATACAGTGCTCAGCAGCTGAGGATTGCTCAGCCAGATGGCCACAGCAAGTGACAAAGGCCTAGCAAAAGTCCTACTGCCCTGGCTCACAGTAGGATGGACAGAAAGACAACGGGAGTAAGGGGATTGCTTCACCCCGGCAGCACAAGCCCTTGCCCCCGGTGCAGCCCCAAGGGGTTGAACATGCATTGGGATGCAAGCGATACAACAGCAACGCAGTGCCTGCTCAGCCCCCCAGCATCTTCCCTGAACAAATGAACAGAGGGGGCGAAACCCACCAAAGTCCATCCATCACCTTTTCCCTTTCACACTGCTTCCTACAGCATGCTGGCGGAGACACATTCATTGTGGTCACATCCAGACCACTGCTCCTGTAATGCTAGTGCTCTCAGTTCCTCACCTATCCTCTCCTTGCTTCACCTTCAAGCTCAAGCCAGGCTGCCCCGACCACATAGCCATCTTATGTAATGCTCCGCCGTGTTTCGTTTCCTCTAGATTTAATGATCCCCCTTCGCCTGCGGCGCTCACCTGTGCTGAAACGGAGGAACAAACGCAACTCCCTTGCAGACCCAGAGGTGACCAGTGAGCCCGGCCCATCCTTGGACACCACGGGTAAGGCTGGGCGACAAGAGACTCAGCACTCCCCTGCCCCTTCCTAAAGCAAGCATGGTGAAAGCAATGGCCTGCTCCACACTAACACCAGTATTTGTGGCCTTTCCAGATGCTGTGATGCAGGACCGGCCCAGCACTGGGGACATCCCAGAGGAGCTGCAGCCTGGAGCAGAAGCAAAAGGGGATCAGCCACAAGCCACGGCACAGACTGTTGCCAACGCACAAGATCCAACCCTAGACCAAAGAAGTCCAGTGCCAGGCCAGGGGGAGCGAGCCCTGGGACAGTGAGCCCCTGCATGCTGCCGCACTGTTTCCAATAAAACCCTGCAAGCAAGCGCACAGCGACAGGGTGATTAGCAACACAGCTTGGGCACAGAGCACAGGGAAAGGGCCCAGAGCACCCCAGACCTGCTCCGCACCTCACTGCCATGCCAGGTTTGCACGGACACAGCCAAGGGGCCAGCCAGCCTCATCTTTTCCTCCAGCAGCTGTTACGAAGGCAACACAGCCACCTTTTGCTGCAGGGACAGTCTGTTTGGGGCCTCATCACAGAGGGGCTGGGGCTGCCAGCCAAGCTGAACCAAGGGCCAAGCCATGAGCAGTTCCCAGAAGGGCACGGACTTGCAGCTTCTTCTCCTGCCTGCTGCCTGGGGCAGAATGCAGCCTAAGCAGGGCAGTTTCCCCAGCAGTGGGCCAGGCTTCAGCCCATCCAAAGGGCAGATGAACGACACAGCAGGGACATGCCAAGCAGCATCACCTTCCCTGGATTGCCTCTGCTGACACACTCATGGGCTGTGGATGGTAACAGGGAAAGCTGACAATTTTAGAAATGGATCGGGGGGTAGAGTAGGCAGCAGTGGTGCACATAACCCAGCTGTGCAAATCAGGTGAGACACTGTTAACAGGGTTACTAGGGTCCTGTCATCAGGTGTACCAGCCTGCCAGCTCCCAGCCTACCTTCCACTCCTCAGCTCACAGGGGTTAACATTTTCTCCATCACCTCAAAATCCAGATATGTATCAGAATGAACAGGAACCATCGCATTTCAAAATGCAGCTCTATAGCCACTACTATGAGCGACCCAGCCTTTTGGAGCACACAGCTATGTCTGCCTCTCCATCCCTGCAGCTCTCCAGCTGTCACCAGCATTACCCCCAAAAGCATGTGGCTTTCTCCTGTGCCAACTGCGAGCAGATCACTCCATTCCACCTCTGGACCAAACGCATTACTTGCACTGATGTTTACGACAAAGAAGGAAGATGCTTGCTTCTCTCCCTCCCCTCCCCCCTTTTTTTTTTATACAAGAGCTGTGTGTTTAAAAAATATATGCTTTTTATTTTTAATTTCCACAGCATCACCCTGAAGGATATTTTGTAACAGCATGGGACCCTACCCAAACCAATGAATAAACTTCCAAACTACCACACTGACTTCAAAACAGGGATCAGGTTGCAGGGCCTCTAGGCTGCATCTCTGCTACCACTGTTGCCTATGCTACAGTGGGATTAGAACAAGTCCCCTTCCTGCTGGCCAGGCCAGGTCATTTGCACTAGGCTATGATGCCTCCACAAAGGAACAGTGTGCCAAGGAGGTGGAAAAAGGAGGCTAGCTCATACACAGGCTACGCACTGGGTCACTCACCAGAAGCATCCCCGCACAGCTCCCTTCCCCCTCTCAACGTGACAGTGCTAGCCTCTAACAGGTCATGTCCCCAGCTTCTCTGGAGCCAGGGTCTCTGAAGCCAGGCCAACACCATTCAGCTGTCCCCTTAGGGACACGGTCTCTGGTCATCTCCCCCCTCCCCCCACAACTGCTCTTCCCAATGCAGCTCTAAACAGAGTTTGTTCTGATGAACCAGTAAACAACTAAGATAAGAGGCCCCTCATAGCACGCTCAGGCTCCACAAGGTCTTGGCTCAGGACTCCACCTCCCTGTCCATGAGAATCCAGCAGGCCCACTTCAGCATTGCCTTCGAGATCCTGCAAAACCAAAATGCAAGCCAGGGTGAGAAGAGACCCAGGTGGCAACACTGTGCCAGAAAAGGGAGACTGGGGCCACATCAAGTTATCTGCCCAGGCACACTCCCTTAGCCCAGGAAGGGGCTACGGTGGGTCTCTGCTGAGCTATGAGGGCTAAGTCAGAGTTCAGGGCCCAGCAAAGATGTGGGGACCCAACTCAGGGGTCACCAAGGAGACTGCACCCTGGGATGCAAGTAGCAGCGTCCAGGTGCCACAGGACCAACAGCCCTAGGGCTAGCACAGCAATAGCTAGCTGTGCCTGGAGAACAGGCGCGGCCGGCTCCTCCCAGGGCTGGGATAAGACATGGCCGAACAAGACCATCATTGCACTGACCTGACAGATCTTATTCGCTCGCAGAGCTCGGGTGATGGGGCCTCATATCTGTACTGGACCGGCCTCTCTTTCACATACTGCAGAAGGGAAGGGAACAGTGAACCTGGGAGCCGCAGTTTGGCTTGCCTTCCCATGGGTGATCAGCCACAAAAGTGACACCACACCTCCACGCATCTCAAGATCTTGACAAGCAGAGAGAAAGTCAGTCAGGGGTCTCTGCCTCACTCAGTCCCTGCTCTTCCAATCTTACTTTACCTGGAGATGTGGCAGAGGATCCAAGTGAGTGCCGATTTCCACCCAGCTAGGGCACCTGCTCCCTCCCCAGCATGAGCATATCCTCGTCCAGCACCCCAATGCCACGGACCCTCCCTTTGACCCTGCACATAGTAGCTCCGCTATGCTTCTTTGGGAGACACGGAGGGCCGGCTCTGCGTGGCCACCCAGTCTCCATTGACGCCTGCTTTCAACTGCAAAACCCCACCAGAGCCAGCCACCGTTACACAGAGACAAGGAGAGGCCCTCCAGTAGATAAGCAGTGTGGGGGCACAGAAAGCCTCACTGGGGACCATGTGAGCCCCAAGAGATCCCACTAGCCACTTCATCTTTACCGGCTGCAGAGCTCCGCGCTGTTCTAGCCTGGAGTCCAGACCACTCGCCAAGGATGCTTGCTCATCCTCCCCCTTGGGAGGTTCCTCTCCATGCTGCAGCCTGGTCTCCTCTCTTCTGCTCTTCTTTGCTCCCTGGGTACTCACAAACTCCAGCTTCCTGCTCGTGTCTCTCTCGCTGCCCTGGGGGACACCACTGGAACGTTGCTTGTGCTGCAGTCCCCGGAGGGACCTACGCAGGTCAGGCAGCGCTTGGCTGTCTCTGACCAACAGCTTCCTCTTGGCACCCACAGACTTTCTGCTGCCACATGGGGCTTCTCCCCTCTGGGTCCTAGTATGAGCCAGGCCAACCTTTGTCATATCTGTAGGAAAAGCCGTGCCACTAGAGTCCGCCTGCTCTCTGTGAGGTGCCCCTTCAGTTAGGGATGCCAAGCGGCTACTGGGCAGGACAGGAAACGTTGGAGAGAGAGACAGCTGGTTGGCCGGAGAGCACCCCGATACTTGTGGGCTTTGAGCAGCAGAGGGGGCTCTGCAGGCTGGCTCTGCAGCTGACGTTGCCTGAGATGTGCCAGCCTCCACAGCGCTGGTATTGCCGTACGAGTGGAGCAGCGAGGGGGATGAAGTCTCCACTGGAGCGTCCTGCAGCAAGCTCTGGGGAGAGCCCTGGCTAGATGATTCCAGCAAGTCAGGGGTGTTGCTGTCGGCAGCCACGTTCAGCTGGGCCTCTGGCGCATGTGGAGAACTACGCTGAAAGGACTTCTCTGGTAAGAGAGAACACACTGTCACACCATGGTACCACAGGGGAGCACAACCTGTCCTAACATGTGAGACTGAGGAGGTGGGCATCAGAGCTGACATAAGGCAGGCACAGAGAATCTAACATTGGAGATCTAAGGCCATCATAGCACTATTTCCTGGCCAGAGGAAAGAAGTCCAGCATCAAAGAGGAGCTGTGTGTTCATCCAATGAGAGGAGGGGGGCTGTCTGTTCCTGGTGAGACACACTGCACCCCACACAGCAGAGGGACTCACCTTCTGAGGAAGTCAGAGTCAAGGACATTGGAGGAAGCCTGTCCCAGGGGTTGTCCAGAGATGCCTCTGAGCTCTGTGACAATGCTGCTGATTCCACAGCTGCAAAAACAAGTCAGGGAGCTCATTCCGGTGAGCTGCAGAGCCAAGAAACATGCTGTGCACTCCCAACCTTGCTGCCCACTTCCAACCTTGCAATGGCTACAGAGAACTGCGTACAGACAGAGAGATAGTGCTCGAGGGAGCTCAGAAACCCCTTTCCAGCCAAAACTGGGGTGCTGAAGCTTCCCACTGCCCTGGGCTGCCCATTCCCACCAATCTCACTTCAGCCAGGCTCCTTCTAAGACTTCAGCCAGCCTGGATCAGACCTTGCACTGTCCAGGGCAGCAGTTCCTCCCTTGGGCTCCTCCTGTGCATAGAACTCTTGCAGGTGCTTCTGCAGCAAAGCTTGCACACAACCAGAATGGGGTGACACAGGCCTACCCTGGGGCAGAACTATAGACAGCCAAAGCTGTGTCAGTCCAGAGCCCACGCTCTGACAGGTGACTCTGGCTCCACAATGGGATCAAAGGCCAAACATCGCAGGAATGAGCACTCCCCTTGGGCGACAGCAGTCAGGCCATTCCAGCCTCTCCACCAACAAGCAGCATGCTACCTCCTCTCCAAGCCACTTGGCATTTGCTGTAGGTGACTGCAGGAAAGTGCTCCCAGCACAGCAAATAGATGCTGCTCAGCAAGAAGACAGCAGGAACAGGCCTGCTGCCTGCCTGCTCAATGCACAGCTACAAGTCCTAGTCTCCCAGAGACCCTTCTCTGCCGGTACTTCCTCCTCTGCCCGGTGCAAGAAGAAAATGGGCTGAGTAACTTCAGAGAAAAATACTAAGAGCACAGAGGACTGGTGCTGCAGGTCCTGCTACTCACGGCTGACTTGGGATATGGCACTCTGGTCACCTGGCACCATCCTGTCATCACTGCTCTTCCCAGGAGTTATTTCACATGCATCTGCAATGACAGGGGCACTGCTAGTCACATCCCAGCACACTGCACTGCAAGAGCAAATGAAGCCCTCTCCCCATCCCAGAGAGGCCCAGGCAGCCAGGAGGAATTCCAGCACCTCAGAAGGAAAGGGACTAAGATGCCAAGAAAGGCAATGTGCCAAGCAGGCTCATGACCTACACATCCTGCAGAACAAACAAACCTCTCAGGATGCTTGCAACCTGAGGGCCTGCAGCTGCTAACATTTCAGCTTGTAGGCGTCCAAGTGTTGCGTTCAGTCCATAACCATGTTAAAGTCTCCTATTTCACATGCTTGGGCTCTGAACCGC